AAAAAAAGAAAAAAAAAAGAAAAAGAAAAAGAAAAAGAAAGCATCAAATGGAAAAGCAGAAGAAAAACATGAATGAGTACAAGCTAAGTGTGCTGCTAAGAAACAAGAATTTGAGCGTAGAAAACGAGAGAGACAAAGTTCAAAGGCTCTACAAAATGAAAAAAAAATGGAAGCGTTCAAAATGTTGAGCAAAAAGATTAAAAAGGGCCAACCAAACTTGAATTTACAAATGTAGTATCTTTAAAAAAAAATACAAGAAAAGAAACCTGTCAGATATTTTGTCCTTAATCAAGAGTTAACCTATCTGCTGTCTATTGAGTTCTTCTGCATATGTCATGTACCTCCAATTAACTGAAGTTATCACCATAAACTGGAACGCTAAGCTACACTAAATATAACATGTCTAAATATTTTTGTTCTCGTAAAGGAAAATTTTCTATATACGATCTACAGAATATACTTTGTTTCTTATTTATTTGCCTGTGAGGAAAGTTGGCCTGAAGAATGGAAAGAGCCTTCTATCTGGGTGACAGGTTTAAGCATGTAATGCTTTTGTATCACATGAAATTTGGGCCAAATCAAGTGTTTTGAAAGTTAAAAAAAAAAAAATCAGCTTGTGGGCAAAGGCAGCACTACTTTTGTGGTCCTGCAAATTTCCACTGTGGTCTGTTGGGTGGGTAGGATGTCCCGACTCCGGTCCTTCCCCATCAGCCTCTTCACCCCCTTCCCGAACAACTTCACTTCCTGTGTCCAGGCCGGTGAGGAGAGGGCAGGGAGGGGAGGGAGACCCTCCCCCAGTATTAGCGGACCACGTAAGGAGAAGTCCTTTGTGCCATGGTCTTTTGGGGGCAGTGGGTGGCAGTAATCCTTCAGCTTTCATCTCCCTCAGGGGCAAGGTGGTGGAAAAGCACCCAGGCTCTTCTCTGGGTGTGGGGGAAGGGCTCCAGAGTGCCTGCAGTGCCTCCCCGTCTCTGATGGTGTGTCCAGCGCTCAGACTGTTGTCAACTGTTGTTGTTTGTATGAGCAAAATTATCTTTACTAAACAGATTTAATAGTTGGAAAAAAAAAGCAGCACACAACAAATTACACATTCTGTATGATCCGTTATTAATCTCTCTCTCTCT